CGCGTTCCATTTTTCACAAAGCAAAAGAAATTGTTGTTTAGGAAAATAATTGTGTATGCTGACTGAATGTTATCGAGAAATGTCGAAATTAATCACAAACTACCTGTTTCGTTAGTAATGACTACTAGAACTGTTTGCATTGCCATCTAACATTTGCGGGTGGAAACTAAGTTAAGGTCCTAATATTATATTTGATACTAATTATATATACCAAATATCGCATTGAAATGCTCAACCAAAAAAATGCATTAGTTAACAAGACATTTTTCTGTGTGCCAGCCAGTAAAGAATCTCAAGGTACAGCGTTTATGCAGACTATTGTGCTTCTTTGACGCTACAGACCGTAACTTTTCGCCGTTTCCTCCGTACGGAGACTCGAAGAAGGATTTGCTGAGAGCGTTTTAGCGGCGGATTCCAAATTTCGACTCGGGCAGTCGCTCAATCGTACACGACGCGACCACATGTCGGACATGAATGCAGAACGGCCGAAAATGCGCGAAGATCCATCAACGTCTTGCGTTATTATCGCCGAGTTCCCGGCGTAATCTGCTTTCTTAGAGGGGAGGGTAAAAAGAAAAGACGCGAAAATCCGGGTCACCGCCTTTGCAATTTTGTCGCGGCTTTATACCGTGTAAATGCTGATAAATATAATCTATCTCGCGGAAATAAAAGTGTTGCAGCTCGTCGCTGCAGCTCGTAAAATATTATTACGTGCATCTTACGTTCCCTATTATTGCCGTACATGTCCCGCGAGAGGACGAGGCGCACGGTGCCCCTTGAAACTGTAATCACCCCGGGGCCCCCCCGGTAGCTGAAATATTTCGCAGCAGCTGCACCGCCGGCGATACGGGACCGGGCGACTTTCCCGATACTTTCATACTTTCGCGTCGGATGGCTACACGTGTACATTCAACTGCAATTTTACAGGCTCTCCGTTCGGCACTTTATATTGCTTAGCGGTTGTTATTTGCGGCCACACGTCCGTTTCCCGGTCGCGCGAGAGACTGCGATAGATAGAGGGAGGGAGATAGAGAGAAAGAGAAAGTATTAAGTTGAAGTTACTCCGAGGCGACGAGTCGAGTCGGTAGTTTTTCGTGCTTATTATTGTGCCGTGAAACGCTATAAGTTATGAAAGTGGAAAAAGGAACTTCACGGTGTCCAGGCGATTGTAACACTGAAAAAAAGATTTGACGAAACCAAAATTTGCTTAAAATGGAACGAACCAAATGTTTGATAATTACAACCAAAACATTTAATTGCTGCTATCTTACTTTGTTTAATGACTAATTAAATATATTACTGAGAAAGTGGGGCAAAATAGCGGCAATTAAATTTTATGATAATTATCATAATTACCATTTGGTTGGTCCTATTTTAACCAAATTTTGGTTTGGTTCAATTCTTCTTTCAGTGTAGGATACAGAGTCGTAAATAATCTCGTAGAAGTAATATCGCGGAACAATAACTATTGCGATGCAAAGTGGGAAAGAGTGCGTTTCGGGGATAAGTTATTGTATACAGTCGCGAAACGGCTTAGACACAATAAACTTCAGAGCGTGGTCGATGGTCCGATGAGAGAAGTTATTTTTGAATAATTCTTTCTCTCGTTGGACCATTAGCTACGCTCCAAAGTTCATTGTGACTACCACCGTTTTGCGAGCTACTGTACAAGCAGTGGCTTAGAAATAATCCCACCGGAAAATCACGTCGTGAAACTGAGAATGCCCCCGCATTTGTTCCTCCTCTTTTTGTTTTCCTTCGCTCATTTTCGCTTTATGTGATAAGTTTCGGGGGTACTGTCGATGTTTACAGTGGAGTCGCAGAAGGACTATCACGCACGCAGGAAACACCATCACCCGCGCACGACAACGACGACGACGACGACGACGACGACGGCGACAACGGCCGTCGCGCCGACGACGAGGTCACCGGCGAGCACGACAGCGACCACGGCGGTCGAACAAGTGGAAGATAATCAAATACCGGAAGTGACGAGGTGGCCGACCACCGAACCCACGGAAACTTGGGAAATCACGACCACCACTATAAGCACCACTCCGAGCACCACCACGACCACCACGACGCCGCCGCGTGAGTCCGAACGTGTTTAATGATTATTAATACCTCGCGTGACGATTATCGATTCGATGTTCTCACACTGCTCAACTTGTGCCGTGCGTTTCAACGTCGTGCGCCAAAAGAACAATGCTATAAAAGTGTCAAAATTATAAGGAAAGTGTTTACAACCAGACTATCTTTTTGGGCTCGAATATGAAATTTGAAATAGTCAAAATCCCGGGGAACTTTATGAAAATGCAGTTTTTCTTTTACAGAAAAATCTCATTTTTTATCAAATACTTTTTTAATGAACGACTTAATGAATGATATATTTCCCTTATAGATAAATATGAATAAATGTAGCCCTTTTGCAGCATCGTTCTGTTACTTGTCGCTATTATAGAATGACAGAATAAATGATAAGTGATAATTAGCGATCGATATGAGTACAGCAAAATCGAATTATTTCCATTCAGATCGATATTATTTTCACATCCGTGTCACAGAATATTTGGAAGACTTTGCCCACAAACTACCTTGTATTGCTATTATCTTTTTTTATTTTTATATAATTGTGTTATGACTTAGTTTGACAGTATAAACATAAAAAATAAATTTTGTATTAAATTTCAGAATTCTACACACGATAAAAATTCGTTTTTTGTAGATGTGTCTAGTCAAAAAACGACGCGAATATTACCTAAGAATACACTGCAAATCCGAGTGTGTTATTTTTAAACGCATAAGCGTGTAATTGGCTAAAATTCTTCTCACACATCTTTTGCGATTTTAAATCACACGTTTAACACATTTATGACGTATAAATTAAAATTTTACACGTTTGAGCATGTTAAATGACGCGACTTGAGATGGTAAGAAACATGTAAAAAGAGATTCAGCTCGGATTTGTAGTGTAGATCGACGAAGTGTCTAACGTTGTAAATTAAAGTCAGTAATACTTCCTGTTCAAGTTTACAATATCCCGTGTTAATCGTTGCCTGTTGTTGGGATTTCGAAATGTTTTCCTAATGTTAAGGCTCTAGTTCGCTAATTATTACTTCACTTATGTCTTCGCGTAGCTTAACCTAGCCAAAGTACATACAAGTCTCCCTTTCGCGACTAAGAATTCCGCGTGTCGGAAGCTTATGGATAGGAGAATTTTTAATCTCTTTCGTCGGCGGCATCGAGAAGCAAATTAGGTAGATCGCCTCCGGGAGATACGGTGGAGAGAAAGAGGGATAAAGGGAAACAATCTGGCGGAAAAGGCAGCCTCTCACGTCACTCTCTTTGCAGGCTTCTGCGTGGTTCAAAAGCCGAGGCAGAGTCACCAATACATAAGAGAGGGCAAGGCCAAAAGGGTGAGTCGCTCGCAATCTTCCAAGTCTCTCTCGCGATCGTCGTCGCGACGCAAAACGCCCGCCGCCGCGCCGCTCTCGAGAGCCGACAGAGCTCGCGAGACAGAAAGGAAGGGCGAGGGTTTTGTGGGCGTCGTGTGAGAGGGTGAGCGCGACGGTGCCGGCGGAAAACGGATATTTGCTGCACACTAGCGGATTTTACCATAAAGGGGCGGATCGATCGCGATTTCTTCTCAGATGTGTTGGCGTCGCGAAGCTGTCTCTTTCTCTCTGTTAACCCTTCCCGACGTCGTCTGCGGGAGGTCTCTTCAGCCTCACAAGCAAGCTGAGAGACGTTTACCCCGATGAGAATAATGATATCGTAATATATGTATGCTCACTACGGTTAATTTCCTGAATATCGGCAATATTCAAGTAAATTAAACTAAAAGATAAATATTGCGTTTCGATGGACTTATCGACGAGAAGAAATTGCATGTAGCTTACTGTGTGAAGCACATAATGCGCACAATCTTTCCATTTACAGATGAATGTAGTTGTACATCACTTAACCAAGCGCTATAATTAGTATAATTAGGATACATAAAATTTATTAATATTTCCATTAATATCAAATTTAAATGCATTTTGATAGAATAGTTGAAATATTCATTGTGTTTCAATTTTGGTATTTTAGCTCAATTTAACATTATCTGGTTGAAAGGAGAAAAGTAGTAACGATAAATAGTATTAAATTTGAGTTTTACGAACAAACTAATTACAGTGCTTGGTCAAACGACGCATAACTTCATCCAATTCCGCAATATTCGATTGGACAGTAAAATATTACACGTGAACCCAAAATACTACAATCATTATGATCCTAAATATATACATTCCTTGCTTCAAAATCCAGAATTTATAACAATTTATAAATATTTAAATACGATGAATTTTTTAATATCTCGCATTTTACATACAATGTCGCTATTTTCGCGTGATACGAAAACATCAATATTAAGATTAACTGTTTCCTAACTGGATAACAGACATACACGGATCATTTTCTATCGTTTCCGTCCGGAAATAATTTCAACTAAACGTGGCGGTCTTTTACGTTTACGGCGGGTGTATTTTGAGATGTACAGTGATACCGAACGTATTAATTGCAACGTGTTACCCTTGCACAGCTCTATCGCGAGGACGAGCCCGAGTGCTCAGAGCTCTGCCAATGCGAGGAGCCCCTAACGCTCATTTGTCACACCATCTGTGTCGACTTGTCGCCGTGCAAGACGGACTTTGCCTTCTACAACCACGAGGCGCCGGCCTATCAAGCGCATCGGGGTCCTTGCCTTTGCTACAGCGGCGGCTTTATATGCATGCGGCCTGCACCCGGTAAGCAGAATTACTCTTCTCATCATTGTTATTCTTTGTTATGTTATATCACAATATAACATAACAAAGAATTTATCTGTACTTTTAAATAAAAAATTCTACACGGAGAAAAATAATTTGCTGGCTCAGCAAATTTTCTGCTGGTCTAGCAAAATCTTTTCGTTATTATATGGACAGCAAAAAGATTTGCTAAGAGTACTAATCACTATTTGCTGGATATAATTTGCTGAATCAAATTATTTTGCTATAAGAACAATGATGGATTTATATAAGTTTTGCTCCGATAACAAATAAATTTGCTAAGAATACATTATTTTGCATCAATAGCAAATTAACGTGATTCTTAGGACAAATATACTCAACAAATTTTCTCTATCTTGGCAACGAAATTATTTCTGCTATGATAACGAATAATTTGTAAAATTTGTAAAATTAGTTACGTCTAAATTTTTTTTATGTCACTACGAATATGTAATAGTAACGACGATTTTGCTAAAACCTAGTGAGAAATGACTTACCGATCGATGTCTTTTCGACGTCTATCGGTAAGTCATTTCTCACTGGAAAGAGCAAAATTATTTTTCTCCGTGTTTCTCCGAATCCTGAAAAACCGCATGTATACTTTCGAGTCATTGTTATACTTGGATTTATTTCCTAATGTGTAACGAGTTAGAACTCATTTGTTATATCACACACAAACGTTTTAATCAATATATGAATTCGTCAACAAAATTATCCCATAAGTAAATTCATGTCAAAATTTTGCACAATTTCAAATATCGCATAATATCGCGAAAAAATATCGTCTTTAAAATTGTTTTTACTTATACAAGAATAAAGTCTGTACTTTAAGGTGCATTTGCCAGATTTTGAATTTATCCTCTCCCATTCCCGTCTTCCTTTCAAAAGTATTACATCTCTAAAAAATTGCATAATTTGACACACTCTATAGGGTAGAATGAATTTTCTTCGCAAATTTTACTATAATTAACATAAAGTATAAATTTCTCCCTGCAATTAAAAAAAAACATGTTTGTACGATTTTTTTCGCGACGTTATGGCATATCAAAGTTATCTATGCATTTTTGTTAAGTCGTTCAATTTGACGTACGTTAAGTCGTTCAATTTAACTCCGCAAAAAAAAATCGTACAAACCTGTTCTCTTTCTTAAATTGTAAGGAAAAGTCTATATTTCACGATAATCATGAAATTTGCAAAAAAATATAATTTCATCCTGTACAGTGTGTCAAATTGTGCAATTTTTTTAATATAAGATGAATCTTTGAAAGAAGATAGATTAATTGTTCAATAAATAACAAAGTACAAATGTAAATTAATAAGATTACTAATACAAAATAGTTATTAATAAAAAAGACGTTTAATTTGCTAATTCTACTCCCTCTGGTAGGAAGAAGTGTCTTGAACATTTTATTCAAAATTAAAATAGTGACTTGCCCTACTTATTTAAATGACTCATTAATCATTAGTCGACTTCGTTTTGTTTAAGATATGCGTTCGATAAATAATTTTCTCTTTCTCTCTCTCTCTCTCTCTCTCTCTCTCTCTCTCTGTTTGCCTGTCTCTTTCCTTTTAAATTGCGTGGAATAAAATGAAATAACTCGCGGATGGCGATTCGTTCTCGCCTCACAATACACCGGAATTCGCTCTGATTTGCGTAGATACATACAGTATACCGCACGGAGTCTTCATGTTCCTGGGCTACAGCGAGAAGGACGAGATCTTATTGAAGCAGCACAACAACCTGACCGTGCTGGACGCGGTGTCGTCTCTCGACAATTTCATGAAACAGGAAGTCGATAATCAGGTGAGGCGCGCCGACGCTACGCCACACGCCGTTACTCCTATTAACCGTTAATACTGGCTGAATAACACCTCCGAAATGCTCGTCCCCGAGTAACCACACGGGATACGTACGTGTCAGACGCCGTCAGGTCGCCGGAGAAGTCTGTCCGAATTCAGAATTCGGGACTATTTCTGAAAACCGTTCTCACACCGATTCACTCACCCGCTCGCTCGCGCACCCGTCGACCCAGAAAAGGGACTAAAATCACGATTATTCCAGGATTTATTACATCCCGCCGTTACTCGCGCGCGGCGTTCATCCATTCGTTCGTTCGTTCGGTCGTTCGTTCGTTACGGAACGACGGACGGCAGCGAGGAAGCGTCCCGGGAAATTCCCAGAATGCAATTAATGCGCAGCGTCTCGGCGATCGGTGAGCGCGAAGTCCCGATAATGAGAAACGTCAATGAGAGAAACGTAATGGCTCGTCAAACCGCGCCCCCGATTAAAAACTAAATCGGCTCGCGCGGAATTTAATAACGCCAGCTGATGCAGCGATGAGTGACGCGCCGCCGACGAACACACACACACACACACACACACACATTCTCTCTGTGTCCATCTATGTATCTACGCGTGTCAAACCTCGTCTTCTACCATTTGCAGACAGTATGCACGCTCTTTCTATACAATGCAACCCGAGAAAACGTGATTGCAGTGGTGCGACTCGGGACCGACAATCCACCTTTAAATAGCAGCCAGGCGCAGAGTTTGCAGCACCTGCTGCGCGTCAAGGTAAGCGAATCTCGGATGGACCTTTTCGTAAGCGCACCGGGGAAATTGAAGGCCCCGATGCGGGGGCTAGATAAGTCCGACGAATGCGCGCTTTCACGGGCAACCGTGGCAACGGAATTCGCGTACGATCTCGAAGGAAATAACGCGCTCTCTATTGCTTCATCTTGATTATTCCGCTCGGATCTCTCAAGGATCGCGCAAGCGACGTGAGAGATTTATCCTTCATTTCAAAAGGCACGTCAAACTTGACTGAATAGCTACTAGAATAGACTGCGCACTCTTACGGGACGGCTAATAAGATCGAAGGACAGAGATTAGTAATGCTCTCTCTGTCACATAGTATTCAGAGGGAACGATGTGAGAAAAACAAAAGTGAAACATAGTAAAAGAAAGAGAAAATACATTGGTGATGTGATCGCTAATGTCCATAGAAGTTAGGGTCGCTAATATGAAGATAAAGATCATCAGTGATATTAGAAGACTATGCATTCTTCGGATCTTTTTTTATTGGATCAGCTCGCAAGTCTCTCAAAATGAACTTGCTTCACTCTCGAATTTCAATAGTACATACACTAAGAGAAAAAATATCGAAGAAATAGCAAATATTTATTCGGCGAATACTAAAAACATATTTACCTATACTAATATAAAGTATTTTTCACAAATAAAAAAATATACATTTTCTTGAAACTTTAAAAAAATCTTTACTTTTGATGAAAGCAATGGTTTATTCTACTTGAGTAAAAGAATTTAGATTTAAGTAAATATGTTATCACAACCAAATAAATATTTACTATTTTTCTAATATTTTTTTTCTCAAGTTAGTTTTGATTAACCTTCCAATCTCATTCGGCTCTTTCCTGATCCGAATCTTTAAACAATTCTAAACACGCCACTTTTATCGTACTTTTTTTTTATATTACATAGTAAATACATTATACATTATAAAATGCGTCAAAATGATAAAAGTCATAAGATCTCGTGTGAACAATACTTTAGTATCACGAGAACTTTTGCGCTCGGATCGAAAAAGACCTAAACACGATTAGAAGGTTAAGCCGCGGAGAGGAGGTTCACAAGTCTCGTAACGACCCTGGCTTGAAGAAAAGCTGATCGCGTGAACGACGGCGATTCGATGCACGCGCGCGCGTGCGTGCGTGCGTGCGTGCGTGCGTGCGTGCGTGCATGCGGCCGACAGGAAGCCGGTGCGGGTGAGGGCGATAACGGGGGTCCTCGCGAAAGTTTTAATTTCCCCGGCGAGAATCTCGGCGTCGCTCGGCCGGCGCTATCGCGATTAATCTGCTCGTTCCTTGCCGAATTTAACCCTACGCCGCGATAGATCTCGACCAGGCGCGCGGATCGCCGATCGATCCTGCGCGCAGGTTATTGCACGCGAGAATGCGGCCTCACGCGTGTCCCGGACACATAATGCGCTCGCTTAAAATGCACACGCCGGGTGATTAAAACTCCGTGATTCATGGCAGAGTTACATACACGGTGTCGCGATCTAAGTATATCCGATATGTCATGGTGAGGTCGCATTTATCACGCGTTAAAACACAAGGTTAGATTTTAATAGCAGAAGCCGAGAATGTTGCCGAGAGAGATCGGAAATGTATTTTGATTAGACGTCGATAAAAATTGAACGAATTGTTCTGCATAGAAAAGCTTCTGCTTAGAAGAAAATTTCGTAAGGGTAAGAAATCTTAGATAAGATAGGGAAGAGCGGATTACTTTTTAGAATCGGACTACTTTTTAGAATTTCGAAGTCATAATTTTTCGAACAACTAATTGCTGTGGTTGACGGTACATATGATAGAGATAACTTCCCAAACAACATGTCTAAAATCGGGACATAAGACGTGTTAAAGGTAATCTTTAAGACGCCTTAAAGACATTTATACGTAAATCGTCTAAAAGACATCTTAAAGATGATCTCTAAGACTTATGTTCCGATTTTAGACATTATGTTGTCTGGGTTTTTTCTATGCTTTTATTGCCACAACGATACTGTAAGCCGCATATTTTGTTCTGTAATAACCAATATACCAACATACTGCAACGTGACTATCTTGCCCGAATCAAGTTGGCTAGCAACTCAGGGTAAGAAGATCACATATAAAACGTGTATCCTGATTAATAGTACCAGCGAGTCTCCGCGAAAGGTTCTCATGATATTATCGACTTTAGTCAGAATCAGGGTATATAAAACCATATATATGATATATAAGAAATTGGGTATTCGTAGTCGCGTTATGATTAGTCTTGCTTAGACAATCAGACCAGTATAGTGGCCTGTACGATCCACTGGACGCTGCAAATGCTTTAAAGCACCATATGGACTAATATGGCTTTTTTTTAGGCACTTTAAAAAGATTTATAAAAGTCACTTTTAAACAGTTTCTTAAAATAGTGACTTAGGAATTAATAAAATAAACTTTTAAATATATATTTTAATATATATTTTAATATATATTTAACCTTTAGACTGCCGGGAAAACCACTTTTGTGGCTTTAAAAGTTAATAAGCCATCTCATATTTATCTTTCCCGATATTTTAATATGCATACATTTCGAATATCTTTGTCATATGACGAATTTAATATTTTTACAACTATTTCGCTAACTTCCTTTGCTACCGATGAAATAACAGACAGACCGATTCGTAAGTAAATCACGACGATAATTATATCTGTGCCCGGCATAATTATCAGAAAACTATAATGAATTCATCTTCCCTCGCGAGCGTATTTCGCGTATATTCAGCGCGGGGAGGATTTTTATAATCGCGCATTCCCCCGACGTCGAAAAATTCGCACGGAAAAAGGATGGATCGCCCGGACGGAACAACACGCCAATTTGAATCCAGAATACCTCCATCAAGTTGCAAATGGACCGGCGCTTGATCACAGATTGGAAATCGCCCCGGGAACCCGTATGACTGTGCGAAATGCGTGCCGCGAGCAGAAAACGGCGCGCATTTAGTGACATACAGAGTGTCGAAGAGATACGTCAAAATCGATCGATGTGAAATAACATTGCCGAAAAATTGCAGGCCACTCCGAGCTGAGAGACGCGCAGAAAACACCAGCGAGATTTTTTCAGAACCATCTCACGCTTACGGCGGACGTACATTGAATTTGCGGAAAAGCGCAAATAGCGCCGATTCCAAAGATTAATTTTTACGCATCATCGTTTCGCGTTAACTCGCGAAATCAACGATTCCTGGCGCGTTCGCGAAAGTATTTTCTCTTATAAAAGGTATTATTTAAGCTCTCTCCCCTCGCTAAATTTTCTTCAAAGAGAAAAGAGCATTTTTCTAAAAAAAAAGAGCGAGTTTTTTTTTTTTAAAGAGAGCTTAAACGCATGCATTTAAGGGGATGCTGGAGGCGATGGCGAACTCGAAAAACGTCGATAACGTAGAGATGGTCACTAACACAATTACGCTATCCTTTTCCTATTTCTTGTATATACAGCACTTACGTAAATATGTTTTACCATTATCTAACCTAACCACGCATGAATCTTTCTGCAAACTCTTCCGATATTCTTAAGTTTCTGAATTTAGATGCAAAGGTTCTTCAAAATTTTTCTGTCTAGCGCATTCACACTTTTGGTATGTACAAGTTACGGAACTTTTCGTTTAGGCAAATATTACGCTAACTGACAGCTTCAAATTTTACATTAAAAATTCTTTTCATCACATATTAAACAATGTTTATTTTTACATGTACTTTCATTATGTAAAAGCACTTGTAATTTTGCACAGCCAATATGACGTAGATTTTGCAAAAAAAAGACAGTAAAGTCAGTCGGTAAAGCTTTCAGCTTGATCATCCCCTTAAAAGAATGCTGAAGCTATTGGTTACACAGAATTGCAAATGCTTTTACGCAATAAAAGTACATGTAAAAATAAATAGGAGCATTGCTCGATATGTGACGAAAACGAACAAAAATTTTTAATGTAAAATCTCAAACTGTCAGCGTAATATTTGCCTAATCCAAAAGTTCCGCAACTTGTACATACCGAAAGTGTGGATGCTCCAACTAGAAAAATTTTGAAGAACATTACTTTCTGCATTTGGAAGCTTAAAAATATCGAAAAAGTTTACAGAAAGATTTTTACACATATATGTTTAGGTTTTCCGTTGAATATGGTAAAACAAAGCAATTGTTGTAATCAATACGACAGCAATTCTGTGTTATCAATACGACGTAAACTTTGCAGAAAAAGTCAGTATTTTATCGCTAAAGTTTTCAGCTTTCCCTCAAGGGGATACTAGAGTCGATGACGAATTCCGAAAATATTGATAACGTAGGGATGATCGTGACATAATCACGCTGACCTTTTCTATTTTTTGCACATATAGATATTACGTAAACGTGTGTTGCTTTGTTTTACTACATTTAGCGAAGAACGTAACCACGCATACATAGAAATCTTTCTGCAAACTTATCCGACACTTTTAAGTTTATAAATTCAGATATAAAGGTACAGCAATGTTCTCTGAAATTTTGTTGAGCAAACTCGCTCAAACAAAAATGAACAAACTCACGTTCAGTACAAGCTACAGATCTTTTGTATCAGACGAATATATTTATTTTAAATAACAGGTTAATTCACACTCGAAATGTCAACTTTGAAATTTTATATCGTTTTTGTCGTATATTGAGCAATACTCCAATTCATTCTCGCACGTGTTTATATCGTGTAAAATCATTTTACTGTTTATTGCGACTCTGTTCAGCTAATTCAACATAAACTTTGCAAAAGAATTCAGTGTACCATCGGTAAAAATTTCGACTCCAGCATTCCCTTAATCAAGTAGCGAGAGAGCGTATTTAATTTTCAAACAATTGAACAATACACTCGTGGCACTTGAATCGAAGGAAGCCGGTGTTCCCGATAACCTCCGGAACGAGAGCAACTGATGTCATTTTGCGGCTGATAACTTCGCTCATCGAATGTCCGTCGGATGGCTTTAAATAACGGCCCGACG